CACACACACACACACACACACACACACACACACACACACACACACACACACACACACACACCTCCCTGCAGAGTGTGTGGAGATATTGTTGGAACTCCTTCAGATGTCTTCAGCAACATTATTCATACTGATGTCCAAACAGAACGGATCATTTTTAGAACTGTACTTTAAGCTCAGGAAACGCTTTCAAGAAAATCCCTTCTAATCACTTCTAAAATAATAATAATTAAAAAAAAAAACTCACTCTGTCACCAAACTCTCCACGGAGTCCCGTTGGCCCTGGGAGACCTGGCTCGCCTAAACCTCCACTGACTCCCTGTAGCACATAAAACACACAGACAGTAACTTAACTAAAAATAGTACTAGTAATAATCATAAAAATCATTGTAAGTGATTTCATGCAACCAACCTGGAAGCCTTTCACTCCAAGCGGACCAGGATTGCCCGCCAGTCCGATACCTCCCTGTTGGACATAGGCACAGTTACACAGGGCCACCAGAAGCAGTCAAACACACCGATATATTAATGAGGCTATTTCAGTTCAGAGACAAAAATCTCAGCAAACAGGCACTCTGATTGTCAGAGACTTGTTATGCAGCACTCTGTGTGGTGGTATTCTGTTATTTCCTGCTGTTTTTTCTTATTATTCTTGCAGCTTCTGATGTGAAACAAAAGCCTATCTGTTTATGAATTCCTCCCTCATACATGCTTATAAAACTTCTGCATAATCCTTCCATCTCTAATCAGCTACTCCACCCTGGTAAGCCAGTGAACCAGAGGGAATACTCCTAGTACTTTTCCAGGAAATAATTGGCAAGAAAAAGGCTGTATGTTTATTATGCCATACCAGTTTCATTTAGCTGAGGGACGCTAATTGTTCTGGTATTTTGTCATGGGTGCTTTGTATAGATGGCATTGTTTTTAGTCTTTTTGGACTTGAACATACAAACTGGTAATCACACCAGCATATCTCAAAGTGCTATTTAATAGATTTGTCTGACAATTGGCTTGTAGATAGGGCAAAGATTGTCTTTATTTGTCCTGTCATGAATGAATCTTTAGTAGTTATGTGGACCTTGTGCTTGTTTGACATCAGGCTACAAATGGAGAGTTTTTTAATTTCTAGTGTGAGAATGAACTTACCGCCACTCCTCTGGGTCCTGCTAACCCCCTCTCCCCCGGGACGCCAATCTCACCCTGAGGATGCAGATGATGTAGACAAGTCAGGAAGTCTTGGAGCATGGACACGCTTGGTTAAGTGACACATCAGAGCGGCTGTTACCCCCTCTCCAGCAACAACATCAGATACATACAGGAATACCTGGCTCTCCAGAGGGTCCCGTCTCTCCAGGCTTCCCTGGATCACCCTTGTGTATAGAAAAGAACATTAAAATCAGCTCTCCATGCTCCCCCATCTCGAGTTGAGCTCTTTGACAATTTGTCAGTAGCACTCACCACTTCTCCTTTAGACCCCTTTTCACCAGCTTTTCCTTGTAGACCCTAAAAAAATTGAATGTGGAGGCTGAGTAACTTTTATCAGTCTCATAATTACAACAATGACTTAGGCAAGAAAATAAAACAATGAGTCACACATTTAGTACAACTTAGACAGGGAATTACTATTTGAAAGTACTTACAGGAAGTCCATTTGGTCCTTTTTCTCCTACTACTCCATGACGTCCAGGATCACCCTATCAGCAAACAAGACAACAGCATGACTGGGATTCACAATTCAAGCTTACAGTCATTCAGGATGAAGAAGTGGCAGCTTACCTTCTCACCATCCAACCCTGGCGTCCCATCTTTGCCATCTCTCCCAGGCATACCCTGTTAAAGTTATCTTATATGACTCTCATGCTTGTAAAACAGTATTACACAAGTACATATTTGCATATATGCACTTACAGGATCTCCTTTGGGTCCTGGTCCCCCAGGAGCTCCTTTGGGACCAGTTTTACCCTGACAAAAACAAAACAAAGAAAGAATGTTAATTTCTGCTAAAAGAGTCATATATTGTGAGAGGTACAAATCAAAGGTTTTTGGCATACGATTTCTCCTTTAGGTCCTCTGAATCCATGCGGTCCTTTTTCACCAACATCACCCTGCAGACATCAGATAAGACACACACACAGCTATTCACTGATGGGACCAGCCATTCATCCTAGTTTTGAGCTGCCAATAAGCGAAGCTCCGGTGACAAGTGTCAAACAAACAAGGAATGACTCACTGTCTTGCCAATGATGCCCGCAATGCCGGGCTTGCCTCTGAAGCCAGGCAGGCCCTACAGAGAAACAGAGGCCGAGCTCAAATAAAACGTCCCGATACACAAATATCTGTACAGGGAGAGACAACCAAGGTAAAGCAGGTAGTGGGGTGATAAAATGTGGCTTACTCTGTCGCCTACAGGTCCCATTGTTCCTGGTAAACCTCTCAGACCACGTGGGCCCTGAAACACGTTGAAGAAATCACAAAGGGCTCAGTTTGAAACACTTTTGGTATTTTAATATTATAACAAATTTTGTCCGTGTATTTTACCTGCAGACCCACAGTGCCTGGTACACCTGTTGGTCCTGGTGGACCAGGGTCCCCCTAGAGACAGAACAGAATGCATTAGGATAATTTTAAGTACACACAATAAAACTAAATATCTGTTATTCCTTGATGAAATGCATATTGCCTTTCTTGCCCAAGTTTTAAATTATGATAAGAAATGAGTTTGAGTGTTTTTGTTCAAACCTCAAAGAGACATTTTACACAATCTCAGGGGATATTGCAAGATCTCATTAGATGTGTTGACACTATAAGTATGGGCTGAAGGATGACTCCGCTACTTATTTTTCTTTCAGCTGCTTCAATTTGCAAACTTGCACGAGAGGTTCTGCAATTTTACGCCAGATGGCCTACCTGATTAGGCTCAAACTTAGGCTCAAACCTGCATCCTCAGGATTATGAGACCATGTCTTATAATGGCCAGTCCTTACTGATCACCAAGCTACCACAGTCCCCATGACTCTCAGCTACTACCACACCCATTTTTAGCTCAATATTTTTAAAGTTACCAGAGTTATAGCTATTTTTGTTATGACTAAAATGGATTAGCTGTGGTGACCATACTGAATTGAATTGATGCCAAAATGTGCACTCGGTTCATTTTTGAAAGTTTTACTAAAGTCTGTACAGAGGTTCATAAAATATTTGGCTAACAGACAGTTAGTGTTGACTATAACATTTAATGGTCGAGTTTCATCAAAAATCTGTCCTGTGGTTCATGAGATACTTTTCTTACACTAAAGACAAATGAACACTTATTTTGGCCAATTTTTTCTGTTTCCCTTTTTGCCTTTAGTGGCAGGCGTTCAAAAAAGAACCAAAATAAATACACTGCCTGGCCAAAAAAAAGTCACCACCTGGATTTAACCAAGTGCTATGACCTGGTGTTGCTGCAGTTGGTCAGGTCTAGGTTCAGCAACAGTATGGGCTTAAAGAATGAGGCCAGCTGACTACCTGAATATACTGAATGACCAGGTTATTCCATCAATGGAGTTTTTCATGAGACATCATTTTCACACATGGATTGGCTCCACAGAGTCCACTGAGAATCTTTGAGATGTGCAGGAGAAGGCTTTGTGCAGCAGTCAGACTCTACCATCACTGATGCAAATCTTGGTGAAAAATAAATGCAACACTGGATGGAAATGACTCTTGTGACATTGCAGAAGCTTATCCAAACAATGCTACAGCAAATGTGTGCTGTAATCATTGCTAAAGGCAGTCCAACAAATATTAGTGAGACCTTTTTTTTTTGGCCAGGCAGTGTATCTAAATTGTTCAACTTACCTTCTCTCCATCTTTTCCCTGCTCCCCCTTGTCTCCTTTGTGTCCTGTGTGTCCCTTAATAAGAAAATACAAATAGATTTAAATGAGGCAAGCCAAAAACATAAAACTAGACTAAAAATATATTTACTATATAAACTCTCTATACCTTGAAACCTGGCATCCCAGGTGGACCAGGAGGACCAGGGGGGCAGATTGCAGGACACTGAGGAGGACAGAAACAAAACACTGAAGACAGTGTGTTCATTCTTCAGATTAAAATGGTGTTCTCCATGGCAGATATCTTACCAGAAGTTCCCCATTAAGATCCTGAAGTGTACCAGGAGGCCCCTGAAAAAGGAATAACTCACAATTTAATCCAACCATTGTGCTCATTGTTTGGTTTCTGTTTAACAAGAAGTTTAAAAAAAACAGTGTCTCTTATCATCAGGAGCAGGTATCATCTGATGAAGATAAATCCACTTACAGGGGGCCCATCAGGGCCAGGAGGTCCTGGAAGTCCTGGAAGACCTTCAGCACCCTGAGAACCAAACAGAAAAGTGCATTAGCAATCAACAAAGTGATTTCATGTAAGTAAGGTTGTCTGTTCCCAATCATTCTAACCAAACATAAACCCTTTAAGTGATTAGACACTTTTGGTCCAACTCCACCTGAACTTTTTATCTTGGAGTCAACTCTCTGCAGCAGCATGTCTGTGGCATTTGACCTAAAAAAGGTTGGCTCACATTCAGCAGCTTTCACTTTTTCTGTGCTCATGTCAATTTAAATTTACAAACATTAGAGATTGTATGACATCGAAGCTAACTTTAAAGCCTATTAGGTGATATAAGGGGCTTTGGTGAGGAAGGTACTGTATAAACTTCCAGCACACACGAAATGCAAACTGAGACTAGAGTTCACATCTTTAAAAAGAATCATCTCATTGGTTTTTAAAACATGTATATAGTTAAAATCATGCCTGATGGAATTATTAAGAACTCAATAGATTTAAAAAACATCAAAGAAAATATGAGTCTTTTTAATTTTACACTAAAACAAGGGTTCCCAGGATTCAGCGGCCCAAATATGATTTCTAAGTAAGCAACGGTCTGAAACAAACTGCAGAAAAATTAAATAAAAATAAAATAATAATTTTATTACTGTAAACTTAGATAAAACTTACAGCCAAAAAGGTTGTTTCCCAAACAAACATTGCAGGCAAACAGAGCTTTTTCTTCTAACATTTGGCAGTAAAGCTTAATATGCATTGTAGATTTTTTAAGTTTTATTACTTGGTATGCCTCAAAATTAAAGGTCCACTTTCGCACAAAAATAAACATATTAAATAAACTGAAATTACCTAATTTTTAATTTTTTTTAATCTGAGACAAACTTCATAAATATCCTTGGCCAAATGATGTTCTTGCCATATTCTCTTTAATAATAGCCAATTTATATATTTTAATAATTTGTGATGTCAAATTCCAATTTTAAAGCAGACTTTGTTAAACGTGTGCAAAGACCAGTGGAAACTAATTGTGCTCACCAAGACAAAACTGAGAAGTTCAATTTAAAAACATAAATGTAATTTAAGAAGCTGGCAAATGTCTCTCTCACAGTTGAGAGCAGGTTCTCCTCTTGCGGCTGAGGTGGGGCGATACAAAGGGGTTTTGGAAGAGCAACGTTTGTGTGTATTGTGTGATTTATGTGTACTTGAAGATGAATTTCATTTTGTTTTTTTAATTGTCCTTTATATAATGATTAAGAATGTTTGTGTTTGAAAGGATCCAGTGTAAAAATCCTGATTTATTTTGGTGATTGGAGGGTGATAGTTCAAGTTAGATTTTTGAAAAGGAAGTGTTTACGTTGGTAAAATTCGTAGAGAGGGCATTGTATCCTGTGTTGAAATTAATTCTTTGTGTTGATAAATGTGTTGCCATTTCTTTAATGTTGATAGTGTCATATAAACCTGTATGGGACACTAAAAATTTTCCTTCATTCATAAAGGCAACAAGACACTAACATTAAAATGACTGAGGTAAAAGTCACAGATGCTCTGGCAGAATATAGAATAACTTAGTGTGAAAAGAGGCACCGTCTGCTTGCAATGAGCTGCTTACACCTAAGTACAAAAATGGTGTCAGACGGCGTAATTTAATTTATTTATATAAATTTTTAAGAGGACACTGAGCTTTTCACTACATTTATTCTGATAACAATAATTATCACCAATAACGTGATGTGAACAAAATACACATAGTTCTCTATCCATTCGTCAGTGAAAACTCAAAATTTCAATCTTTCTTTTCTTTGCACACTACACTGTTATGGCATTGTGACTGATTACCATCTTTTCTATAGCCTGTGACAGAGGCCGAAGCTGAAATCTGCTTCAGGGCTAACCTTCTTTTCTTGACACAGCAGAAAAAAAAAGATAGTCAGTCTGTGTTACGGCAGCCTGCAGAGTACCTTTACTGCTAAAACTTCAACCTTTCACAGATAACTGTCTTCCGTCTCAGTCATGTGCTTCGATTCTCAGTGTACTGACTCCTTTCCCTCCTGCACGGCGCACTTGCCTCGTGCATGGCTGTAATTTGCAGGGGGGTTGGGGTGGGGTGGGGTTATGACCCCCACAATAATTTGATCCAGTCAATAACCACCCCCCACCCCCAATAAAATGACATCATTTGCTTAAACACAATAGAAATTAACGGATTCAATAGACAGATGCAACTCTCTTGTTGTCTTTAGGTAACTTTGACCTGATTAAAAAATTTACAATGTCATTTATACAGTACTGTTCGTACATTTAAGCATAAATGCTGAAAATGACATGCAGGGTTTTGGAGCATAACCCCCCCAGTGGTAGACCTAAAGTTATGCTCTAAGTCAGGGGTGTCAAACTCATTTTCACCGAGGGCCATATGAGAGTTATGGTGGCCCTCGAAGGGCCACTTGTAATGAACTTTGATGTTACATGTTTAACTTGGACTAAACAGAGTTTTAACACGTCCTCTTTTAAACACTGATAAGAACTAAGTGTATGACTGACTAAATCTGTAATAAATACAGAAATATTATTAAAAGTAAACCCACTGATGAGTTTCTAGTGAGTAGCTGCATTAAGGCAGATTTAGTTTATGTTTGATAGTGACTTTAAAGCAGCTTATTTTCAGACATTAGTACTGTGCTATCCAACTAAATTGCTCAGTTACTTCAAGCCAACAGCTCAGGGACAGAATTTTTTTAAAATTTATTTTTATTTCATTTATTTTTATTAATTTTGTTGCATTTAACCATAAATTTAAAGTTTACCATTGATATAAGAAACTAATTTCATGTTAAATTAAAAAAAACATTTTGCGGGGGTACCCTCCCCCCTGGCGGGCCACATTTGGCCCGCGGGCCTTGTGTTTGACTTATGTGCCCTAAGTGATGAGTGTTTCATGGGAGATTCAGCACAAACAGAATTTGAGAAAGAGATTCCATAATGATAACAGGAAGTCAGTCTTAGCAGTGGAGATAGGATGGGCTTACCACAGGACCCTGGGGTCCAACTCCTCCCGGCAACCCGTTGGTTCCAGGTAGTCCCTGGAAACAAAAACAAGTGTTGTGTGGGCTAAACATCAGAGGACACATAATGTCTTGACTGAATCCCAGTACAGCAAACACAAGTTGGCAAGATGCAATTAAAAAAGAAAGTTTAAAATGATCCCAGTTCACCAAAAGCATGAACAGACAGATTGTACTCACTGGAGCTCCTGGTCTCCCTCTGCCCTACGAAAGACACAGGAAGGCAAATTAAGTCGCAAATACCAATACGCATCACATAAAGTTACGATGCAGCTTATTTTATTTTTAAGAAAATATCTGAATCTTAGTTTGGTGTAGAGTCTGACTATTAATAATATTAAATGTGTCTTCATCATTTAAAAAATAACAGACGCCTCCTTCAGTCAGTTTAAAGCTGAACTTAAAGCTATATTAAAAGGAGCAGCTGGATGCGATTTCATGACAAGTAAAATAAAACAAAAAGAAGGATTTATAACAGTTTTTTAGGTGCTGTATAGTTGCTTACAGGAGGTCCAGGTGGTCCAGGAGGCCCTGCTTCACCCTGTTGACAGCACAGAAAATCAAAATCAGTGAACAAAGAAATCCCTGTGTCCATGTGTGGTATACAGATTCGTGCATGTTAATAAAAAAAATAATTCATATCCAAGCAACATTGAGCAACTTGATCTCAAAATAATTTCAACTGCTATTACCCACCTTCATGACAGGTGGGAGATATTATTACCAGTGGCTGTATGTGTGCCTGTGTCTGATCGGTTCACACTATCTTGTGAACTATCGGACAGATTTTTTGAACCTCTCAGAAAAACGTTATTGCATGCACATCTACAATCTGTTCACTTTTGAAGTCACCCCATTTTAAGTTAGTGGCCACAGCTAATCCACCTCAGCAAACACAAAAATGGCTCCAAGTCGGTCCTTTTTACAAACGTTGAGCTGAGATTTTGTGCAGTAATGGCTGAGAGTCATCCACAGCACATAACCCAGAGTGTGACTGGTCATTTCTATGTTTGTGGCCCTGTGATGGACTATTACACCCACCATTGACCCAGTGACTAATGGACAGGGACCAGCGCCCTAGAACCCACAACAGGATCAATAGGGTACAGAAAATAGATTTATGAGTTATCTTTTAGTCTAATAATAAAAAAGTAAAACAAAAAAACACTAAATAACAGAATAAAAAGCACAACTTAATGTATATAAAAGAGCATTACAGTGATGACTCAGCGGTATTTGTTTTCTGTGTGAGGTGAAGGCAAGCGAAAGTCAGAGCATTCCTTGAAGAAATGCCAGAGTTTTAAGCTAAGATCTTTTTAAGATGATAAGTAAGAGATGAAGCTGCTGCAAAATCTTAAAGTTGTGCAAAAACTCATGGGACACACTGTATTGGGTTGAGGACAACACTCAGCTACTACCACATCAAACCGCAGATCAGTGTCCATAAATCTGACAAACCATTTTTGTGTTGGCTAATATCGATTTACTGGGGCGGCCATCTTAAACTGGAGGACCTCCAAAGTTAATCAGTTGCAGATATACATCCATCATTATAACCTGTTCAGTGGTCTGGAAATATTTTGCTAACACAACATACAAACACAGGCAAAATCATTGTTCAGCAAAGAGATATTGATGTACTTGTACACAAGTTAAAAAGTTTGTTTTGTATGGGAGGAGAAAAAACTTGTATAACTACAATGGTTATTATTTAGTTTATGTTTGGTGTTTTATCATTTTAAATCCAGATGTTCTTTAACTGATGATTAGCTGGAGATCAGCTTTTCCTCGTCTCAAACTTTATCTCATTCTTCAGCACTTTAAGCCAGTCAGGATTATCAGAGTAATTAGAAACACGGGTTGGCGCTGGCTTCCTCAATAAGTCGGCTAATTAACTGATTTGCTGTGCAGATGCCAGGAGCGTGGAGGTCTGCGGTCGCTCTGTCTGCACTGTTTTCACTTAGTAGATGCATTGTGGGGGCTGAAAGTCCTGTTAAATGACAGGGTGTCGTCCCAGTTTGATGTCACCAATGTTGTAATCCAGTTGTCTCCCGGGTCACCCAGAGGACAGGACCTGCTTTTGTTAGGAGAAAAAAGAGATCACTTCTACGGTTCCTCAGGTTGGAGGAAAAAATGGAGCACATTCCAGGTTGGATTAGGAAGCGGGCGAAACATACTCCGTTCCTGATCCCTCATTAAAAATTCCTCGAACCAAGGCGTTGAGCTAACTTGACAAATCCCGGCTGGCATGGAAAACACGAGCCCCCATGTAAAACAACCGGATCAAGACACAAAGTTTGTGTTCATTCTGAATGTTTGTGTGCGTGTAGTCTGTTGGTTGACACAGGGAAGTATGAAGGGATTCAAAAAAATCTTTGTCTCCTCTGCACCACAGGATGTTCACAAGATCAAAGAGGGACTTACTGCCTCCCCCGGGGGTCCATCTCTGCCAGCAGGACCGTCAGGACCGGTTAAACCCTGAGGATAAAAAATGGTATTATTATTTTTTTCATTCATTTAAACACCGTTAGAATGAATCATGTTCATTTCTACAGTATCAGATACACTTTGCTTTCAGCATCGTCCCAAACAGGTAAAAACATTGTTGATGCGACTCTTACATCAATCCCTGGAAGTCCCGGCAGGCCCGGTTTTCCTGCTGCTCCTGGTATTCCTGCTTTTCCTTTGGGACCCTACAATAGTCCAACAGAGCTTTTATAATTTCATCTCCCAACTTCACAAACACAAGATTAAACACTTTTCTACAAGCGTTCATCTTGAGAACACCAAATTTACACAAAAAAGGCACATTTGTTGACTTTGAATCTCCGATCCAGATTCTTCCAAAGTTTTCAAACTGAACCCAAACGTGGTTCATGGGGCCAGTTTTTGTGTTGGTCACCAGTGCATTTTCTTACGAAGTTCCTAAATAATTTTGTAACATAAGATTTGCATTCCACTGAGCTACTAAAAGGCAACTTTTCTTTGCATAACGGTTGAAATAAATCTCTCTGTGTTGTGCAAACTATCATGGTTTTATTAACGTGCACAGACAAGAAAGTAAGAAAGGAAATAGCCCAAACATTGCACTTTATTTTATCTTGTTTTCTGAAAAGCCGAAGCACAAAAACTAATACCCTGAAGAAAAGCCAATATGTATGAGATTCAAACTTTACGTTTTCATTAAAAACTGTGTTTGGACTGCTGGAATACTTACAGGTTTCCCCGGCAGTCCAGCGGGTCCATTTTTTCCCTGTTAAGAAAATAAAGATAAGTACTTTTTATTTATTTTTTTTTACATCTTGAAAACAATTTATTCACTAAATATAGTAAAAACTGAGATCCAAAAATATTTCAGCATTGGATTGTCGAGAGAAGTTTCATATTTGGTCAGTGCTTCAGCTGCTTCACTGAGCACAGGAGGAAGAATCAACACCATTAAACCAAACCAGTGCAGACTGCTCACATGATAAACACCTCCGTTTGGTTTGGATGAGGGTTGGGGGCAGCTAGTGGAGGTGTGTGTGTGTGTGTGTGTGTGTGTGGGGGNGTCTCACAGGGTTGGGGAATGTATGAATGGGCCCTCTGTGCTTTACAGGAGTCACAGAAATACTCAGAGCCAAAATGATCGCAAGTTTTCTCCACGTGAATAAAACTTTATTATTATGTTAATATAAAGACTTAACAAAGGGTTTAACTTTATTAACCAAAACCTAATTATAATCAGCATTTTTTTCTTAAACTGCAATCAAAATTTGTAATTTTTCCTAAAGGGTTTACCAGACGTGTCCATGCTGGATGTCGTAACATCTTGTGCATTAATAAGATTTGCTGAAGGAGATGTTGGATGCATTCATAGATACAAACATCTGCTTTAGAAAGGATAAAATTAGTTTGTGCAAATAGTTTCTCCCTCACAAGTCACACCCATAAACCTGCCCACCTTCAGCTGTAGGAGGAGTCATTTAGTTACAATCTAACGTTCAACTGCATTCAGACCCTCGATAAACATAAAAGACGACTGATCTACACTTAGAATCAACATGAAAGACCTCTTAATTTGAGTGTCAGTTTATTTTAAATGGTTGAAGTAAAGAAAGTAACTTTCAAAAACGTTTATATATTTATATTATTAAAATCCCCCCCCCCCAAAAAAAATATCGGCATCTCGTTTTTATCGACCACTATATTGGTCGACTGACTCCAGACAGTTCAGATTAGAGACACTTTAAGTTGCAAACATCTTTAATGTCTGGTCAACTCACATCAGTCCCATCTCTTCCTGGTTGCCCTGGGGATCCGGGTGACCCTGGGGGCCCTCTGGGGCCGGGTCTCTGCAGTTAAAAAAAACAAAACAAAACAAAAAACCCATCAGAATCATGAATTTTTACCTGGAAAACATGAAGCACTGCTGAAGGTTCGACATGATGTTAATCAAGCAAATGAGATAATGGTAAGAAAAAAAATACAAACTTTTCCTCTGAAGATGTCCCATAAATTCTTCAAAACCATAAAAATCTAACAAAAATAAACACTTTAAATATACTTTGAGCAAACGAGCAAAGGCTAGACTTGATTTCTTTACACAAATCTGTATCTTAATCCTTATAAAACAGGATTTTACTGAAGACTCTCCAGTGCTCATGACTGAGTTTGTCTGAATGAACAGAGGCAGCATTGTGTGCACAGGATCTCCAATCGGCACATTCCACAGGTTCAAGGAAAACAGTCCACGACTGCTGCAACTGAAGGGCAAAAATCTAGAACCACCTGCACACAAGTAGCCTAATCTGAGCTCTCTGATCTGAAGAAAACAGCCATTCTCACTTTGATTCAGCTCATACAACTCACAGGCTCAAAAAGATGAGAACAGGAATGGTTAAGTTGGAATGGTAAGGCCTGGAGTTTAAAAGCCAACTGCTACCATCCCCATCATCATAAGATGTTCCCATTACAGTATTGCTATACTCTGGGCCTTCTGTACATATTATCTTCATCGCGTCTGGGATAGGATGCAGGATGAGGACGAGGATGCAGTCTTACCTGAGCTGAGGAGGATGACAAAAGCTGGCACACCAAGAGCAGCCAAAGAGCAGGGAACGCCGTCATCGCTCCCGAATGTTTTACGAAGCAACAAGGACCAAAATCCCCAGTTCCACGTCCAGTCCCTGTCTCGCTTCCCACCCCCTTCCGGCGTCCGCTTCCTTTGCCTTGCCTCACAGCGCGCAGCCCCCTGAATGCCTCTCTCTTCCCTTCCCAGGTAGTCTTCAGCAGAAGGGGCTGAACTCAGATGAGCGCTCGGCACACAGAGTGGGGGTGAGGATGGTGGAGGAGGCTGTGTGCAGAGGGGAGAGCAGCTTCGGACTCCAAGAAAGTGGGCAGAGCTAATAAGTGTTTAAGAAACGGACCAATTAAAAACAGATTAAAGAAAGAATAAAAAAAAAACCTTCTAAGCAGAGGTGCTTAAAGTGGGCCAAAGTTGGCCCACCAAGCCATTTGAATTGGCCCACCAGCAGTTGCCCCAGTAATCTATCATTCTATGTAGAAACACTGTTTCCATTCAGCTCAATGACTGGACAAGGGGCTGTAGTGCAGATAGTCTTTACTCATGGTGTTTACTTTATCTTTGAATTATATTAAGATTAAACATGAAATATAGGTAACTACAAGAGACATGTAGATTAGTACACTTTATAAGACCACAGATACTTGTATTTTATCAACGAAATGTCCCATGAGCCTTTGCTGCCCGAGTGTACCTCTTTCTTCAACTGCACAGGTAAAAACAAAACAAACAAAAACAATACATGGGCCACTTCACTGACTGTTTGCCCAATCATAAATAACAAAAGAAAGTTATTTAAAAAGTGTTTGCATTTCCTGTATTATTTTATTGTATTTGGCCCGCAGCCCTCAAATTGATTTTCATTTAAGCCCTCAAGGGAAAAAGGTTTGGGTGCCCTTGCTTTAAAGCAACATGGCTGCAATTTGAATTTAATTTAAAGATGCTCTTTCTTTTCTGCTTAGAAAAAAAACAAAACGAAATGGAAAAATCAGGGAGGTGAATTTCAAAGCTTTAGAACCCACATTTCCCTTAACGTAGCACGTTGAGTAGCTACACCATGACCTCTATTTCTGCAGGTTTATCTCTTTATTCTTATGTCTCGTTTAGAAATGAGACTATCTCCTGTCTAAATAAAAGTAAATAAATGTATCTGTTTGCAGGTTTGTAATTTTCAACCAAAACTGAAGAAAAAAAAAACTGATCATACTTTTAGCTTTTAGTCTCATCAGTTACTTTCAAAGCGCCGCTGTAATAAACAAGATTTCAGTTATCCTTGATAAAAAGGTAAGCTAAACTAAAATCTATGACTTCAGTGTAATCAGGCCTTGGAGCAACAAGATCCTTCTACAGTAGATACTTCAACATGACACACTTTTTGCAGCAGTATAGAAAGATAATTGCAAATCCACATTCACTTCATATAACTGTGAAACTTATTTTTTTCTGATCGAGGGTTTTAAAAGTCAAAGAAAGTGAACTTTCTGTCTAAATGTAATAGTTTTGTGCCATTTTAGCTGATGATCTGCCTTTTGGTAGTCAAATCTGTTTTATACTCAATACCCACCAAATACTGTAGTATTTGAACAGATTAGGGGGAAAAAATGCAAATATTAAACTACCAAAACATAATTTCAAATCCTAATTCAAGCCTGTGTCAACTTCACCCCTGCTCTTGGACTCAACAATATGCTTTAATAATTTTTTTATAATTTAGATTATTTATCTCTGCTTCGAGTTATTTCACTAAGGCTTTATATACAGTTAAATATTCACCACAGTTCCTGTCAGTCTCATGAATTCTAGCAGGAAGAACACGAGACTTAAAAAAATGGCAGATTACTTTCCAATAAACTACACTTAGACTTGGTTTGGCTAAACAAGGACCACTTTCATAAAACAATCAGAAAATAGTAAGACTTTATTCTGCTCTGGTAACAGCCAGGTGTGGAACTAGTAAATAGTTATGTAGAAAGTTATCAGTTTCATCAGGTTTAATACAGCAACTTAAACAAATATTGGCAAAAATCGAGTGCAAAAAAAATAATAATAATAATTAAATTATCACCCTGGTTTGTAGATTTTCATGGAACGCACCACTTTCAAATGAACATACAGTAGAACTAAATAACAGCCAAAGCATTTTCATTTCTGCCAAGCACATTGTACAATCAAACAGTCTCTTCACATTTTTAAGATTTTTTTTTGGCAAAGCGTTCAGTTGTTCAGTCTAACTTCCCAAATTTACATTTGGACAGGTTTCAGACTGAGCAGCATTGTTGGGAACTTAAATAACATTCGGCCAAATTTTCAACCAAAACAGCAGAATCAAAGAGGAACACAAACCAGTACAGAACATTTCATCAACACAAAATCAGATCATATTGAGAACTAAAGTTTATATTTAAATTTTTTTTTTTACAATTTTTCTCAGTGCAAAAAGAAAAATTAATCTCAAATGTGGGGTCCTACAGTTACCTGATATGCATCTGTAATCGCGCTTCATGTTTTCCTTTCAGTCTTGATTACTAGAGTAACTTATTATTCAGGTAATAATTTGCATTGTTACCTTCTGCCTACAAATCCAGTCAAAACACCAAAACCAGCAGCAAGTTTAGCTCAACAACCTTAAAATCAAATAAAAAACTAACCTGTATACTTAAGTGACATCCTGCTACTGCTAAAATGAACTTCTTTTTCGGAGTACGAGAAAAACCGAAACATGAACCAAGGCCACAACGTCAGCCACAAGCAAGTGCAATAATCATCTGTTAATCGATATCGGCTAAATGCCACAATTAATTGTGGTTCATTTTTAAGTTAATATTGCCCAACTCTACAGTGACCCCAAATGATGGTGCAAGTACAGCATTTAAATTTTGATTTCATTCAGATTGTGCGATGGGGAGTAGGTGGGATTTAAAACACTAAATATTGTATAGAATCTGGTCCCAGAAATACAACATGGCAGCGGTGCTGCCAGATCTTGAGAGGGGAATAAGCAACCCACTAATTACCACCCCTACAGCCTCACAATGATGATAGAGGCACCAAGTAGAACAGCATCAAGGAGTTTATTCAGCATGTCATGCTCAGTCATTTTCAAACACCTAATGTTTAACTTTTTGAAGCTTAGACTATTTTTGGAGACCAAAGTTTAAAGATGTCAAGGCCGAGGTAACTTTTAAACAAGTCAGAAAACCAGTTATAAACAGCACCTTTGTTGTGGCGGTATACAAAGCAATAGAAGAAATTAATGAAGTTAATTGAGATGTCTTCTAATGTCTTCTAAAAACTTGTTAATTATATGTATTAAAAGCAAACAGCTTTTAAAAAAAGCTTCACTTTGAAAAGCGTTACTAAAAATCAAGCCGAATGCATTGTTCTAATGTGACTAACTTCTTGCTGCTTCTGTTAGATTTGTTTTGGGGGGAAAACAACTACGTAATACTGAGAACCAAACTGAACCACTTTCAGTCCAATATTTGGTGGACAAATTATTTCATAAGCTTTCAAGTGGGAAAAACAAATCCATATCTTAACATCAAATAGAATAGAAATAAGGCCCGGGAAATCTTTTAAAGTCATATTCTGTCCTTATATTACACCATACAGCTCGTAGGTATTTTCACCCGTCACTGTTTATTCAGGAACTTGTCTCGTTTTGGTCTGAGCTCAACGCCTCCATGTCGACGTCCTCCGACTCCGTCCCATTGTTCTGTTCATTTACACTTTTGTCGTTTTCCGTCCCGTTCACCACAGAAACTGTTTCATGTGATGCTTCGTCTTTGTCCTGCCGCTGATTAAAATCAGTCCTTGGGATTTTGCCCTCCCTTTCAGAAGATGGAGAGGGTGAGTGTTTTGAAGTCTTGAGGGGAGTGTGCACAGATGGGCTTGTTTGACTCGTGGATTTATCCGCAGCAGCTTCTTCTTCCACCTGCTCACTGGCAGGGTCACTATTTGGCAGCACCTCATCATCTTCCCTCTTCTTTTTTGGCTGGTTTTCAGTTTTTATGTCGCAGTCGGTCTGCATAACCTCAGTGTCCTGAATGGTGTCTGTCGGGTTATTGGTCGGTTTCTGCTCACTGTTTGCGTCGGGCTCAGGCTGTGCAGTCACCGTGTCGGGACCGGGCGACTGATCCATTTCTTGATCATCATCTGGAGAGTCATTTCCATTCCTCACAATTTCATCATTAGATTCCGCCTCCACATTACCATTTCTGACTGTCTCATCTTCGGCTTGTGGTTTGGCAGACTCCTCCGGCTGTTTGCTTTTGTCTTTATTTTTATCGTTTCCTTTCTGAGGCTTGGAATTATTATCCGGTCCTTCCTCCTTCTGCGGCAGAGCTGCATCTCCGTCTTTGCTTTTCTCTGCCTTTCTGAACTGTTTCTGAACCTTTCTTGGACACCACACAAACTTGTCCTTCGGCTCAAAGTGAAGGTACGCAAATTTCACGAGCTCCTGACGTTTTTGCTTGTCCAGCACGGCAAACAGGAAGTAGTCGAGCACACTGCGCTTCACACTGCTGAGGTTCTTCTTGACCAGAGTCTCCTCCAGGAAGAAGCGCACAAGCGGGGCTTGATAGTGCTCAAAGCCCAGCTCCCCGAGGCTTTTCAGGATGCGAGTGATCCTCAGGTTGTTGTGCATATTTCTGCAAGAGATCAGACAGTTCATGCAGTAATTACACAATGTAACTCTGTGGAACATATATCTTTGAAAAGTATAACTCATTTCACCTTTCTAAGTTTCCAAAGCGATCTTTCCAGTTTTCTGCACGTTTCACTTCGCCCGTCTCTTTGTTGACCAAACGAATGCCATAAAAGCCCAACATGAGTTCATAAGATTCTACTAGTCTTCTTTTGGCATCTTCATTCTTCTTGAAGGCCTGGTAAGCATATAAAGTAAGAATAAAATAATAGTATTAGTCATGATACTACAAAACAATATTAACATGTAAATATTAGTGCTGTACCAAACGATTATTTTCTAATCGATTAATCTAACGATTATTTTTTCGATTAATCGATTATTCTAACAACAAATCTATAAGTTATTTTGATGTGAGTGCACTGGA